TTAAGGCTAGATTCACACTCCACTGTACGGGAGGGTAAAGAGGACTCGATGAAAAAGACACAGGTGACAATTGAGAAGGAAGGCATGGTGTTGAAAATGACAGGGATTGAAATCCTCCCCACATCATAGGGGAGCTGGTGCGAACACTAGGGTGATGGGGGGTGGGGGAGCCTCCGATTGTCCCAGCCGGCAGAGAATGGCCTTCCTCGATGCTTTGGCTTTTCTTGGTTTAACTCTTTGTGAAGTCTTTTCCTTTGGGACCAAGCATGCTATACATTTTTCTGTGTGGAAATTTATATGTTGAGAGATGACTGAATTTTTAGCTCCTCCTATAACCTTCCATCAACTTTTCTTGAGTTCTTGAGTTCTCTTCTCTCCCCTTCCTTCCCTTCCTTCCTTCCTTCCTTCCTTCCTTCCTTCCTTTCTTTCCCTTTCTTTCTTTCTCTCTCTCTCTTTCTTTCTTTTGCTTCAAGGCAGAGACTCCTGTATATCCAGGCTGGTCTCCAATTAATAACCTCCCTTCTTCCATCTCCTGCATTGTAGGACTACAGCCACCAGCTCCAGCACACACTAGGGCAGCTCATGAACCACTGAAAGACTAGTCTATTTAGGAGTCTTTGTACATAGATGGTAAGTTACCAGACTGCTTCCTAGGCCACTGAAGTCAGAATTTGGGTACTAGATGTAGGAACATGGTAAAAATGAGACACCGACGCTTATTTTTAAATTCTCTCTCTCTCTCTCTCTCTCTCTCTCTCTCTCTCTCTCTCTCTCTCTCTCTCTCTCTGTCTGTCTGTCTCTGTCTCTGTCTCTGTCTCTGTCTCTCTGTTTCTCTCTCTCTCTGTCTCTCCCTCTCTTGATAGAGTCTTGCAGTGTAACCAGACTGGCCTTGAATTCCTGATCTCTGAGCTGCCTCAGCCTTCCCAAACATGGAGATTACAGATGTGTGCTATCACACCCAGGATGCACGGCCATCTTTATTACTTCATAATAACTACTTGCATTTGTGTTTTTATGCCGGGACATTGAACAGCTCGACTAAACAGTCTAAGAAGGTCTCCTTCAAGACCAGTTGAGATGGCTCAAGGTGTAAAAGGCAGTGCTTCCAAGCCTGAGTGAAGAAGACCGTTACAGGCGGTTTTGAAGAGAAATCCTTCCAGTAGGGCACTGCACACATGGGTGTGGACGTGTCGGTGTGATTTATGTTATGTTTCAAGATGGAGCCTTGCTGTTGTGTCTAAACTCTTGGGCACAAGGGCTTCTTCTACATCAGACCCAAGTACCTAAGATTACAAGCGTGTGCTAACTCACCTGGCTTAGCCTCATTGCTTTTTTTTTTTTTTAAACAAAAGCAAGAAAAAGGTCCTTGCTGATAAAAATCCCATCCTTAAAACCCCTAGAATTCTTACTCCTCTCCTGTGTAAACAGCCGGGGAACGCTGAATTGAACTCTTGTTGAGGTGGCTTTGCGGCCACACACAGCATTGACTCTGCCCCCCAGATATGAGCTAGGCAAGGAAAAGATGGATGCCGGTTGGTGCTTGGATTCAATGAGGCGCACAACGTTGTGGGAGTCATTCTTTGTCCTACGTATAGATGCAGCTCAGACAGTGACGCGCATCTGTATTAGCTCACAGACTAAATCTAGGCATTATTTTCAAAACTGCACATTTAAAAACTTGTTGAAGTACAGCCAAGGAAGTCCATAGGAACAAATGCATAACTTTAAATATTTACATTACAAAAAAAGGCTAGAAAATTTGAGCTGAGGATCCAACTTAATCTGGGGAAAACACACTAAAGAGGAGAAAATGGTGAAGTGAAAAACAAACGTTGCCCAATACTAATTTAATTGGGTATTTAAATTAGTAACATAACAGATACTCCAATGACCAGGCTAATTCAGAAAAAAAAGAGGGAAGACACAAATGACATTATACAGTCAAACAACGCAGCAATACATTCTTTCTAGGCATTTTAAATGGACATTTTTCCTGCATGTGTGTCTGCACACCACATGCATCCCTGGTACCCATTGAGGTAAGAAGAGGGATTTGGATGCCCTGGAACTGGAGTTTCAGATTGTTGAGAGCTGCCATGTGGGTGCTGGGAATTGAACCTGGGTCCTTTAGATGAGCAACCAGTACTCTTAACCACTGGGCCATCTTCCAGCCCCAATAGCAAATTAGAAACTCTCCTAGGCCAGATTGTAGCTTGGCTAACACCCTTCTCCAGCACACACAATAGCCCAGTAACATGTTTTGCAGACCCTTAGGGAAGACAGCATTAAGCTGGCACTATGAGGAATCACCCTACGCAATTGGCCTGTATCTTAGGACAAATGTGCAGGAATCAAAACAGGCACGTGGGGGTTGAGTAGGAATCCTGAGGACAAAGCACCCAGCACTCTCTCCAACAGATCACCCACACCCCTGACTCCCTCTTATTTCAGAAGAAAAGCGGTAGATGAGCATGCATGTTTGCATGCATGAAGGCACTCCGATGTAGAAAGATGGTCTTTCATTCCTCCCTGGTGCTAGCAAGCATTCAGAAATCCCACCATTAATCTTAAAGACTCCCTCCCTAGGTAGTGATTTCAAACATCCAGCGGGTTAAGTGCTCTGACTCAATGTTTGCACTCCATCGGGGTTGATTCTGCCCCTGTAGCTAACAAGCACATGAGGTTGAGACACACAGCAAAGTCCATATTGAGGAGTTCAGCCTGGCCAGATGTGTTCCCAATACCACCAAATGAAACAAAGGGCACATTGACTAGAGGACCACCATAGTAACAGAGAACTAAGGTTGACCCGTAGCAACCTCCACCGCAGTCTGGACTCTGGTAAGGTCTTTGACATCGCCAGCCTCAGCTCTCTCCTCTGCCACGCTGCGACAATCACATCTCCCCCCACACAAGCACCACATGCAGCCTGTCTATCTTCCACCCCGCTCAGTCCATAACACCAGCCAAACCAAAACCACAGTCGTGTTCATGACTTTGATAGAATCTGAAATAACAGACATGAATTTGTTCATGTCCTAAAAGAAGGAAAGCATGTGGAAGCCTGGGAGGTTCTGTGGGATTCTGGGTTACTTTCAGTGGTGAGGCCCCCAGGAGAGATGTGGGGGAGTCCTCCTGAGAGGTGACACAGGAAAGATGAGCCACAGGAGGTTCAAGTCACTTGGAATTTGACAAGGAAATCTTGCCAGTAGCTTTCATAGTCTCTCCTGCAGCTTTAAGGCAGGCAACCTAAGTAATATTTTAGCTTGCCCCCCGAAGAAGCCTGACCACTGTTCTGTGCACACTGAGATGTCACCTGCTAGTGACAATAATGGCATGTATAAGAAGAGAAGGCAGGGCTGATGAAGTTAATTGACAGACTGTAGTCGCATAGCCCCCTAAAGACCGTGTTGGGACCATTTCCTGGCTTCCTACAATTCTGCAGCGTGTTTAAGAACTGTCAATCACTCGACAAAGTTCCATCAACCCTGGAGCTCCAGTAAATTCCTGAAGAACCAGTCAGAGTATTTGCATACAGAGTTTTATGGCTTCTTCTTGGGTGCCCAAGGACCACCTTCATTTATGTCAGTCTTTCTAGAGTGGGTGTACACTCGGTTTTGAAGGTTTTTATGTTCAGCTTTTTAATGGGATGTGTGTTTGTACACATTGAAGTACATGGGGGAGGGTGCACGTGTATTTCAATGTGTTCGTGCATATGTGTGCATGAGAAAGTCAGGGGATAACTTCATGATCTTTGAGACATGGTCTCCAGAACTTCACTGAGTAGGCTACCGTATATCCCCATAATGCCATACAGGAAAGAACAGCTTCGTGGAGCTGCCTCCCAACTTGAGACATGACCACGAAAGAAAGAGAAACTACAGAGAAAGAATTTCTGCCTTCTGATATTCCTCTTGTTGTCTAAACAAGTGGTTTGGACAAGAGCTAAAAGATAAAAATTTCCCTTCCTCCATTTACCTGAGTACAATCCATCATCTTATGAAGATTAAGCCGAGCTATGACTTGGGTAAAACTCAGCAGAGCTGTTAGTGCCTGTGAGGCAGATGCCTCTGAAGCCGGCTCTGAACTGATCTAAAACATGAAAAGCAGTCTCCTAGCTCATGGTGCTGGAGGGTTCAAAATCAGACTTTAGTGTCAGAGAGAGGGAGGGGGAGAGGGAAAGGGAGACAGGGGGCGAGGGGGAGAGGGAAAGACCCAGACTGAGACGGCAAAAGTGTGGGGATTGCCTCCTCCTCTGCCCCAGCTGTCCCACCGAGATGGGTGCCTCCTCCCGACTCCTTCCTCTCATCTGCCAGCAGGAAAAGTCATAAACTCCTGTCCAGTATCCCAGCTTTCCCAACTTCTCCTAAATTGCTGTCTTTGTCTGCAAAGCAGTTGTACCAAAATTACTGCCCGAGAGAGCCTCGACCTTTGTCCCCTGCATTTCAGATAATCGTTTGAACACTGGAAAAACGTTGCCCCATCTTCAAGTCTTCAAAGTCGATTCCCCCTCTCCCGCACCCCCCTGGAGATACGCCAACTAGGATGTACCAACATAGTTCAACCCCGCCTGAAGAAGTTCCCAGCCAAGATGAGACCCATAATCTCCAATCACTGTGCCAACACACCTCAGCGACAACCGCGGAGGCAGGTGTGTGTGTGTGTGTGTGTGTGTGTGTGTGTGTGTGTGTGTGTGTGTGTGTGTGTGTGTGTGTGTGTGTATGTGAAGCGTCTCCCAGTTGGCTTCTAGAAAAGTTTTCCTTTTTACTTGCAGCCAAATCATCTCTTAGTCACTCCTTAGGGCAGGGACAGAAACAAAAGGCTTTCTCAGGTGTTTGCAATGCAGTACTTGCAAGCATGAGCTGGAACCTGGCGGGTCCCTAAAGGTGGTCATCTGGCGTGGGTGTCTCTAAGTCACCAAGACCCCAGAGACCTAGTCTGGCGGCCACCTTCTCACACGTTCAGTGTGGCAGCGAGTTGGAGCACAGAGCCACACTTACCTGGCTGACGATGGTGGAGTGGGTCTCCACATAGCGCCAGTTGCCGCTGCAGGGCACCAGGGGCGCGGAGTGGTTGGGGAAGGCAGCCAGTGGGTCGCAGCTGAGCTCAGTGCTGGCATTGGTGGCTTCCAGCAGGTAGCGGTGGCAGTGGCCTTGGCCTCGGCGTTCGGCGGGAGCGTGGAGCTCTGGTGCCGTGAGGTTCCACTCCTCCTTGGGGCTCCAGGCACAGCTCTCGGCCAGCTCGGTGGCACGCGGCCCACGACACCAATAGTAGTCGGGCTGGCTGCCCAGGAAGACCACACCGACGAAGAGGAAGGCGAAGGTGACACCGGTCAGGCAGAGCAGTAGGAACACGCGCCGCTGGAAGCGCCCGAACTCGCCCGCCTTCCTCAGCGCCTGGTCGAACGTGGGCATGGTGCGCCCCGCCACCCCGCGTACTGCCGCCCGCCGCTCGGCCTGTAAGTGACCCGCGGGCGCCGCCGCCCGCAGCTCTGCACCCGCCGCCCCCGCCTCGCTCGCACGCTCGCCCTGGCAGCCCGCCCCGGTCCGGTCCGCTCCTCCCGCTCCAGGCTCCCGGCCTCCCCCCCCCCCAGCCTCCCCCCCTCCCGTGCACGCCCCGGGCTGGCACAGCCCCAGAGAGCGGTTTGGGGTGGGTTCACAGTAGTGTCACTATGCACCGAGGCCCCGGACCTGTAGCCTGCCCCAAAGAGACACTCGGGTCAGAGTTCCCTGAGTTCCAGAATTACCCGGCCTCTCGGGGATTCCAGGAGAAAGCTTCCAGTGCTCTGAGGCCACTGGAGCTGGAGCCGCTGTACTCCCAAGGTGACAGTCAGCCACCTCCAGGAACAGGGTTTCACACCTGCCCCTGCCTCATCACATGCCTAGAGCCCTGGGTGGGATGTTGGTGACATGGCAGAAACTGGCTAACTATTCCAGCAGGACAGAGGGACAGCCCACAGGGCTAAGAGATTTGCTTAGTCTTGAAGTTAAAGAGAAGGGACCACTTTAAGGCAAAGTCCTTTGCATGTATTCCCATCCTGAATCTCTGGGAAACAGTGGTGATTGGTCGGTTTGAATCCCTCAGAGTCTTTGTTGCCCCTGGAAGATGTGCAGATTCTGTAAGATACACAGTGTGGTCCGCAACCCATCGCGTGGCCCATTGGGTTAGCAATCAGCTGCCAGGTTGCAGGTTCACCAGTGCTGATCCTGGTGCATCCCTGTCAGCATGCTCTAAACTATTCTAATTTCTCCAGCCAGCTCTTCTCCAGGCCCGAGTCCCTGTCGTCGTCGCCCCCCTCACCCCCCACCCCCTCACACCCCCACCCCGCCCATACTCATGCCATCAACCAGCTTTTAGCCAGCTGTTCTCCCAGGCTCCACCTCAGCCAGTCTTCTGCTAACTTTCTCAAGGGATCCAAAGAGTGCAGATTTAGCTCCGCTCCCCACAGCAAGAACGCTGGGGCCAGGCTGCCTTGTTCCAGCCCATCTCCTCCCTTTACTGTGTGTGATCCTGAGAAATTCAACGGGCCAGCCCTGGCTTTCCCATCTTTTAAGTGAGTCCCTGTGAAGACTGAGTGCATTAACATGAGCAAAGTACCAGAAAAGTCCTTGGGGTTTTCACTCCGTAACCATTACTGCAGCTGCTGGGCGAACATCAGCCATGGCGTGGGTGGGGCCCAGGAACTGGTGGAATCATACACCATAGAATGCTCTCTCTCTTTCTCTCTCTCTCCCTCTCTCTCTTTCTCTCTCTCTCTCTCTGTGTGTGTGTATGTGTCTCTGTCTCTATCCCTGTCTCTCTGTGTGTCTGTCTCTTCTCTCTCTCTCTCTCTCTCTCTCTCTCTCTCTCTCTCTCTCTCTCTCTCTCTCTCTCTCTCTCTCTCTCTCACACACACACACACACACACAAACCACCTACTCCCCAGTCACTTCTGTGTTTGTGTATTTCACACTCACGCTGGTCCCATTTGTCTGCTGGACCCCGTCCCAGATTGGGTCTCCCCTCTCCAACGCACTTCTGCCGGCTGACCTGGCTTTTGGTGAAAGAACACCCTGCCTGTCCCACACTCCAAATCTCAGTGGCACCCCAGTCCCTCTCACTCCCCAGTCTTTAACTCAGATGCCACGGAGGGCAACACTCAACCCCTCCCCCACACAAGCTCATCCCCCCAGCTCCCTTCTTTGTCATCAAAGCCCTCATCACCAGCTAATCCACGTATGTGCTTATTCATTCATCTGATAGTCTTACTCACTCCCTTGTTCTCTGTTGCTCCCCAAGTCCCAAGTTTCGTGCAGGGGGAAAAAAGTTTGCTCTGGGCCTTCACTTCAGCACTGACAGTAGAGACACTTAGCAAACGGTTGTGTGATAGTTGCAGGCTGCCTGTCATGTCCCGCCACTCATAAGTGTGCCCTGCCGTCCTCTTTTCCTGCTTCTGGTACCTCACTGATGGTCAGTCCCTTCAGGCACCGCAGCTTCCGTCCTCTGGACCAGCCTGCTGAGGGGTGACTTTCCATGAGGCAGCCCGGAGGTTCTGTCTTCAGCAGCCTTGTTCTCCAACTCAAACCCTGACGTCTCAACGCCCTTTCCAAGTCCTAACCTCTTTCTCTTTCTGTCGCCCGCTTGTGTTTCTTGAGGACTTGGTTTTGGGGGCATTGTTTGTATATTTGTGAGCTTCTGCTCATTGATAAGCCTGTGTGATAGCACGAACACCATCTTCTGAGTCTGGATTAATGTCTGCTTCTCTGATACTATAAGAAATCTCAGTTTGGATGGAATAGAGTAGACATTTTTCATGGCTCCTGCTTTGTGTGTCTTATAAAAAATCATGCTTTACTAAGATTTTAGATGCTTTCTCATATTCACATGCACGCATGTACTGTCTATCACCCAGTGCTAGCCTGCACTGAGCTACACCCTAGACCTTTATATAGCCTTATTAAGTTATATTTTCACATTGAATTTTAATGTCTCTGGAGCTAATCCTGGGCAGAATATGGTAGGATCTAATTTTACTTCCGTCTTCCATATGATCAAGCAGCTATCTGAATGCACTTAACTTTGCCTGGCTGTACAGCTCTGCTTCTGTCTTTATGAGATTTCTAGTTATGCTGGAAGAGCCTGGCCTGTGCCCTTCATCCTGTCCAGTGGCTGTCTGTCTGTCCTCCTGTCCTCAAGCTGGTGGCACTGTTCACCACTGTCTATCACAGTCTAATAACCAGCAGAGCAAGCCCGTCTCTCCTCCCCCACTCATCTTTCCCCACTTCAGAATGAACCTGACCATTCCTGGGGCTCTTATCTTCCATACACACTTTACATTTTGATAAATTCCATACACATTTGACTGGGACTTTTATTTAAAGTCATACGTACACTTTTTCTCTCAACTTTGAAGGGAGTTTGAGAGAAAGAAAGCAAATCTCTCTCACACACGAACAGGTATGTGCAAGCACATATATACTCATAAATATATATACATATTGTATATGAGTATATATAATATATACACATATCTGCATATATGTATACACACACATATATATGATGTATATATCAGTACTGGAGCCTGGGCCTCAGTTGTGTTTGGCAAGAGCTCTACCACTGAGCTACATTGCCAGCCTTGATATTTTTATCTTGAAAACACTGAAAGCGGTTGGGCATGTTGCAGCTCAGCTGTGAGAAGCAGAGGCAGGAAGACAGCCACAAATTTAAAACCAGCCTCGTCTATAGAGTGAGTTTTGACCATCCAGGGCTATATAACAAGACCCTGTCTCAATAATAACAACAAATCCATTGCACACTGCTCTATACCTACACCATCCAATATGGTACAGCCACACACACACACACACACACACACACACACACACACACACACTCCTAAACTCACATTCGTGAAAAGGCAAAGATGGCAAACCCTGTTCCTCATGGCCACATGTGTCTATGGCTCACATGAGCTCTCTACAGAAAAAAAAATGCTTTCTTCTTTGCCAGGGGACATCCTGGCAAACGCTACAGCCAACTAATACTGGTTGGAGTTTCCAAAAACAAACGGAAATAGAATCCCCAGGCATCACATTACATAGCCACAGTGGAAAGAAAATAGCATATTGAAGACACTTTCCACCCCATGTCTATTGTAACCCATTTCTAATAAGCAAGGTATGGAGCCAACCGTGACATCCATGCACAGATGAATGAAGAAAATGTGTACCAGTGGATGAAGGGATGAAGAAAAAAATGTATGTATACATAGGTGATGTAAGTGTCTACATACAGATGAGTGGATGCTATTCAGCCAGAGTCAAAGAGTGAAAACCCAGTCATTTGCAGGACTGGATAGAACTGAAATATATCATGTTAAGTGAAATAAGCCAGACACAGAAAGTCACATCCATGGGGTCTCACTCATGTGTGAAAGCTTGAAAGACTGGCTGGGCTCAGAGAGGAGGAGGATTAGAGGTTGCTGAAGCCCAGGGGGTTGGGGGGGGATGGGCACAGACGTTAGAGAGCAGTTACCAAATGTGGCTGAAGGAAGAATTAGTCCCTGATACAATGTTACCCGATACAATGAGGTAACCACAAGACACCACAATCTAGAATGCATTTCAAAACAATTAGAAAAGTCCAAAGGTTCACAAAACAAAGAAGTGATTGGTGTTTAAAGAGATTGAAAGGCTATTCAGCCCGCTTTGGTCATAATATAGCATACCATACTCCATAAACATGCAAAGCAATATATGTTCATTTGAAAGATAAAATGCTAATTGAATAATAATTATCCTCTACCTCCAGCTTTTATAAAACATACTGTCATAACTGTTTTTTAATCACTTTTAATCATGTGTGTGGTTACTTTTAATTACGCAAATGTGTGTGTGGGTGACCATGTGCACATGAGTGCGGGTACCTGCCGAGGCCAGAAGAGAGCATAGGATCGGTGGAGCAGGAGCTCCAGGCAGCCGTAGGCATCTGACACAGGTGCTGCATATCAAACAGTACCCCTGGGAGAGCATTGCATACTCATAACCACTGAGCCGTCTCTCTGGCTCTAGAAACACCATTTGTTTGCTTATTTATCTGAAAATTATGGCTGTCATCTTGACAGTTGTGGACTGGTAAATATAAGGTATTATATTAACACATACTGAGTGACCAAAGTAAGTAAATCTCATTCTGTTTGGACAAAATAAAGCATGTGCTTGTACACACAGCCACACAAGTGTGCAAGCATACATACACACTATGGTAAATGTTAATATACAACCTATTTTTTTTACTGCATTCATGTGAACTTGGCAGGCGAGCTGGTGCCAGCATGTGTCAGAGCAGAGATCAAAAGAACTCCTATCTTCCTTCCCTGTTTTCAAGGAGTGGATAACAGTGCCCCGAGACTTGCTTTCTCCACATTTGGCCTCATGGAGTAGCTCTTTCCACCTTCACGTGTTAATGTAGCAGGAACTCCCCCCTTGTCCCTGCTGTTACTCTCCTGGCTGCAGCTGCCCC